CCGCATTCCGGCTGTTCTGCACATGCAATCCAAGCCTTTTCCGACTGCCTTTATCTCTGCACTTATCAGCAGCGAGGAATATAATGTTTACACAAAATGTTAAATGTTTTATTTTCCCAAACAGGCCTCCATAATGCATTCAGGTGGACAAAGCTGTTCCGCTTCATTCCCTCGGTCTAAAAGGATGCGATAACAACAGTGCTTGGTGGGGAAGGAGGTATCAGAGTTTTAGACCTAACATATTAGACCTAACTAAGAGAAACTGAGCTGTGAAAGAGATGTTCTTTCTCCAGGGAGCATATGCTGCAAAACCCAGAGGAACTTGTTAATAGTATTGTCACAGAATGGCATCCAGGGCGGCTTGCCAAGAGCCGAGTCCTCTTTCCAAATCAGATTGCTGCAAAAAGAGCACAGAATTGCTGGTCAGTGGCCAGAGGGGTTTCATAGGGAAATGCTTTTGTATCCTTTCACCTAAATTGTTTTTCACAGGACTAGTGACCAGCCTGCAAAGGGAGATTGCTGTGAAGGAGCAGAAAATTCAGCAGCTCAACCAGGAGGTTGAGAAAATGAAGAAGGACAACAGAGAGAAGGACAATCAGCTAGCAGTTGTTTCTGCCAAGGTTAACATGCCTAACGATGGGCTCTGCAATTTACTGTCTCACATATGGATGGATGTGGGCAATAAGATTGAACGGCTGGTGCTTCTCGCTGCCGAGGACCATAGCAGCTGTTTTAGCAGCTTTTTGGGGGGATGGTTGCACCTCCCAGGTCCTGGCTGCGTTCGCATCGAAGCTGCGAGAAGCGTGAGCTGTGTCGCTGAGACAGTGATCACGTGGAGATGGTGCAAAATGCCCCCAGAGGGGTGTCTGCTTTCCCCCATGAATCCCTCTCCTTGTTCCGAGTGCAGCTACTTTTGACCTGTGAGCACTGGATTCCTGTGAGCACTGTAGCTGTTTGTACGATCAAGGCACCTGTGCCAAGATCCTTCCAAGGAGCCATTATCAGCCATGGAAACCTGGTCTTTTTGATGCTCCCGACAGCCAAGCCCGTCTTTTCCTTTAAAGAAAGCTGCTTTTCCAGCAGGTTGTTTCTCTGTGCATTTTCAGCCCCCCCTGCTCAACTGGCAAATCTTACAGAGCTGCATAATCTGCATAATAAGTGTAAAACGGTTGCTCCGTTTTGGCTGGCTGGCTGGGCACTCTTCCAGGATACTTCAGTTACTCACAATGATTCCTGAGTAATGGAAGGCACTAGGAGGATCTCCTGAGCCCCTGGGATCCAGGGAGGGCTACAGGAATATACCTGCCGACTGTTTTTTTCCAGCTGCTCATCCTCACTGAGCAGCATCCCAGATGGCCGCAGGAAAATCTGTCTGTCAAGTTTAGAGAAAGGTTTTCCATGGGGAGGAAAAGCATGGAGAGTGATCCCTGGTTTCAGGAAGGGCTTGGAGCAAAGTGGGAGCTGCTCTGCCACGCTTGCCGGAAGGTGCCTGTGCCCTCACGGCAATAGGACTCATTCTGAAACCTGCTACCTGAAAATGCAGAGTTGAGAAGCACAACATTAGCTTGAAAATCCTTGTTAATGCAGTGTTCAGCATTCCGGGGCCATTCCGTCAAAAGCAGTCGTCTCATTTTGCCCTTCCACCCCCTTCTCATTACACTTGTGCTCAGGCTGGAGGATTCATGTGTGCAGCACGTTCACTGCAGGTGATTTTCCTTCCCGTGGCCAGGCTGTGATTCCAGCAGGCCTTCCGAGGAGCTTTTGTGCTTCTGATGCCTCAATTGCCTGTCGCGGGCACACACGGGTGTCCGTGTGCGTAGCTGGGCTGTGTAACTGAACGAGGCACTGACATTTACTCTAGAAATGACACTACTGGCCAGCTCGGTGATTTTTTTGCCCTTGGTTGCTGTTCATTCTAGTACTCCAGAATTAAAGAGGGAATGAAGCATGAACTCGGAGAGAGAGACGTCACTGCTTACCGAAATGTGAGTGTCCAGTTGTCTGCTGTGTTTTTACCACAAGAAAACAGCAATTGCAAGAAGGCATCATCAAGAGAGTAATTAACGACACATTTTAAGAAAGTTGTTTGGAGTCAGGCTCTTCTAATAGAAGGGCTCTGCCTTGCATAAGGAAATGGAGGAATGTATGCCCGGAAAAAAAAAATGCAACTTTGCATTACAATGCAGTAGAATTCTGTCTAAAGTGAGCTTTAAATTCCTCTTGAAAGTCATTATAACATCAGGAAATAGAGAGTAGAACAAAACCTTAGGGCAAATTAAGCAGGAAACTGGCCTACTTAGTACTGACATGCAGCTTCCTATCTGCTTCATAGGCATCCTGCTAGCCATTTCCATTCAGCATAGAGTCCTTAGTGATAGATGGGGCAAATGTATTGTTTATTGGTTGAAATTTGGTTGAAAATTGGTTGAAACCAGTTCAATTGGTTGAAAAGATAAGCAACAGTGGAAATACTGTGCTGCTTTAATTAAACTTTCTGCATTGCTGGGCCTCTCGTAGCGCATTGGAGATCTGGAACTTCATGTGAAGGGACTGCAAGGAGAAATACAGAAGTATTGCACTGAACAAGAAACCATGAAAAACAGGCTCTCCAAGAAGGCAAAGGTAAATTATCCATGCTGCAGCCAGGTGCTCTCTGCTCTGCAAAGGGCAGTGTATAGCTTGGGAGGTGCAGTGTGTGGCTCCAAGCTTCTGAACGGGCCCAAAAGACGGGGTTATTTGGTGACACGGTATTTCCAATGCGGCTACCAAATCCTTTAATTTGCCGTGTGTGTGTTTTTGCCTAGTGTCCTAAAACAGAAGTGGTGACAAAAGAGCCCTAAAGCACTTTACCGTGCGGGGGAGCAGCAGGTGACAGCAGATGCCTTCACATGGGGCCTGAATCCGCTGCCGTGGCCGCGCGGGCTGCGGAGCAGAGCTGGGTCCGTTCAGCAGAGGGCAGCCCTGTCCCCGTCCTGGGCTCGGCGGGTGCCTCCCGTGCCAATGGCAGGGGACAGCCCTGAGGAAGCTCCTCGGAGCCCCATGGGGTGGAAAACCCCAGGAATGTGGAGCCCAAGGTGGATATAGCGCTGTGCTTAAGTCTGCTACGTACCCAAAACAACAACTCCTGCAGCAGGGGCTTAAATGTGCGAGCAGTGTGTTGGGTAGTGTGGGATGGGTGATGACCCAAGGGCCTAAGTCAAGCCCAAAATTAGTGCTGGGTCTCCAGCGCTTCCCCACATCCTCCTGCAAAAGGACTAAGGTGTGACTCCATTCAAAGCCCTGCCTGGAGTTTGATCATGAGCAGTGGATACGGGGGTAAAGCTGCTGCTGGCTTCTTTGGACAGTTTTGCTTTGCTGCTCAGATGCTCTCATTGCTTCAGGCTGAAGAGGAGCTGAAAAAAACGTGTGAAAGGAAAGCTCAGCAAGTGCAGGAGATGGGGCGCCGGGAACGCCTGCTGAAATCCGATTTGGATCGGGCCAAAAATCAGGTAGGGAGGAGAAAGAAATGCCACAATCCTACGGTCTGGGCTGCAGATACCGAGAGTCCGATTTCTCCCGGGGGAAGAAACGTCCCTGCGAAAGGCATTCAGAGCTTGGGTTCCTGAAAGGAAATACTGACTGCCGAGCACAAAGCTCTGCGGCCCTGCACTGAGTTTGTGCTCGTGCTGTAGGTTGGCCTTATACAGCAGGATTTGTTTAGTCACCGCACAAGACGCAGGGAGCTTAATATGATACAGAAATGCAGTATTGTCGCTGTAATCTTAGCTGTGCTGGCTGGAAGCCACGCGAACCCTGCGCTGGGTCTGCGCAGAGCTGCTCAACACAGAGGCAGCCCTTTGCAAAGTAACCTGGCGTGTTTGAGGACAAGCTCATGGGCAGCAACACAGCCTGGGAGCATTCCCATGGCTGAGCAAAAGCCTGTCTGTGCAGAGATGCTCCTACCCCTTTTAAATGTGCTTCTTGCTAGTTTACTGCAGCTAAGTTTCGTCACTCAACCTTGGAGGAAGTGGTGATTTCCTTGCCTTGGCATCAGTCCTGTCAGATCACCGTGATGAAGCTTGCTTCACACAGGGAGGTTGTGCCCCGTGTTAACCCCTAACACACAGTTTTGCCAGCGCGGTTTGGCAGTGAAAACCCAGTCAATAAGAGGCAGAAAATGCTTTGAATGGTTTGATGAAGTATTTGATAATTAACCACAGCTTTTGTGAGTTGTGGAGCTGAAGGGCAACCTCAGGCTTTCAACGACAGACGAAGAGTTAACAGTGCTGAACAGAAACTCCCACACTTTTTGCAGATAATAACCTCCTGCCTTGCAGGGCTGCATGTTATCATGTGGGTTAGCACAGAGATAGCTCTTTGGCAGTGGCCAAGGAGGAACTAGCACCACCTATTAAACTAAACTGCACTGAACTGACCTCAGTGGAAGTGCATCTTTTATTGAGAAGACACTGTGGGTGGCATCTTCGCATGTCCCCAGCCTGTCCCTGCCTGTTTCACAGGAGGAAATCGGAGTCAGCCTTTGCAAATCCCCATCTGAGTATGGGAGTCAGCAATTGCACAGCAATCTGTCTGTCCTTTGCGGTCTGAATTACCACCCAGGCAAAAAGAAGGCCTTGAACGGAATTAAGCAATAGGAAGGAGAAGCAGCTGCATTAGCAGGATGTCGTTAGAGGGGTCTCAGCAGCGAGGAAATGGAACCGGTGTAATTCTGGTGTCAGGCGGAAACATGAATCTCCCCCGAGTCACCTGAATCACTTGACCTTTCTCCATCGCAGGCACTGTTGGACCAACAACCAGTTATGGTGATATTGATATACCAGATTGCAGTTGACTATAACAGGGGCAGAATTAGGTGTCAGCTTTCCAGAAGACATTTGGGAATTGCATTTACTTTGACAGTGGATTTGAAAGCCTGTCCTGCAAGCCTTAGTGGTGATTACACCTTGCATCTCGTAGCCAACCTAACTAACATTATTAATGGCAAAGCCTTGCTGTCAGTAAGCCAGCGTATTAAAAGGAGGGATTTTTTTCTTTCTTCTTTTTGGTGAACTGTTGTTGCAGAAAATTGAGTGTGAGCTCAAGCGATGTCCTGAGGCAATGGCAAGAGCACGTACTCCGCCTCAGTGTCAGCGATGACAGACATAAAAGTCTCCCAATTTAATTCATAATTACTTCTGTCTTCCTCTCAGATCCTGCCAGTCGGCATAGGGTTAGCCCCCAGTATCACAAAAACATAATGGTAACCCAGAGGTGCCCTTCTCATTGATTTTGGGAGGGTTGTGCAGACTTAACAAGCAGGGTTTTTATTGATTCACGGTGATTTAATTCCCTGTGCTAACCTCTGCTGTAGCTGGAGTCTTTCAAACAGCAAGTGGTGCGAGTGTGTTTTCCACGAGCAACCGGAGCTGCCGAGAAGTTGCCGACAGATGAGCAGGTGAGTGCGGATGCCAGTGCCCAGGGAAGCTCGGTGCCACCAAGGGCCTGCGCTCTTCCTGCTCCTGCCTCTCTCATCCAGCCTCTTTGACACCCCAGGACATCCCTGAGGCATCCAGGAACCTGACACGTTCCCGTATGGTGAAGGAAATGCCATCTTTTCTCTCCTCTGAAGTTTGGAAACACCCTCCAAGCTGACATGGCTGGTGTTTTCCTGCCCTGGGTTTCTGTGGCTCAGTGGTTTGCCCAAAACCTTGATCAAAGATTCATGTTCTCAAGCCTCTTCTCCATGAGTGATTATAGACCCAGCCTGTGTTGCAGCCTTACAGAGTAGAGCTATGCGGGTTAATATAGTCTTTATTTTCCTCTTTTTCCTCGTACTTCTGCCAGTTAATTGAGAAGATCAGGCAGATCTCAGACGAAAACCAACAACGTCTTGAAAAAGAGAAGCTTTTCCAGAAGGAAATAACTTCTCAGCTAGCTAAGGCAAAGCAGCTGTCCGAAAATATCGAGGTGTTCAAGAAATCATTACATGGGCTCCAGGTCAGCTCTTTATACAGTTTTTATAACCTCAGGCACAGACTTCATCTGTGACTGAACATTGTAGTACACAAACCACCTTCTGATGGACGAGCGTGATTGCATTATGTTCTGAACAAGCACTTTGGGGGATTTTTTCAGGCTTTCCTGAGGACCTCCCATGGCAGCGCCAGCCTGAGACAGGAGCTCTGCACCTTTGAGGCTCTGCGCGTGGACCCTCCTGTCTCGGAAGTCCACAAGGCTGTGGCTGAAACCGTGCGCTGTCTCCTGGCCTCGATGGAGGGAGTGGAGCAGCTCCTGGAGAGTGCGGGGCTGGACCTGCCTTCCTCTGATGAAGGTTCTCGTCCCACCACGTCTGCCTGCATTTCCCTGACCTGCCACGAATTGCTTTTCCTGGATGGCGAGTGGGAGAGGGGAAAGTGCAGAGGGAGCTCACCAGGGCACTTCAGGCCCCCACATTTAACATTTGCTGGCATCTAAAGCAATTTGGGTAACCGAGGGGGGAGAGCAAGAAGAGTGGTGAAAGAGCAGGAAATAAAACTCACACATTTCAGCCTCATCCTTCCTCTAAGGGTAGCAGATAAGGTAATGGAGTTACCTAAACACACTAGCGAGCGCTCGTGTTCGCTGCTGTGTCTGGGCCTGGTGGAGAGGTTGCATATTCCAGCAGCTGGCAGTGGTTCCTGGGTTTCAGGCCGCATCCTTCTCTGCATCTTGGGTTTAGCAGGTTGTGAGAACACTGAAGGAGCTACTACCTTTACTGGGTGTTTTTTCAGCCTGTAGCTCTAGTAGAGCATGAGCTGGAGGCAGGTCTTTCCTTGCAGGTCATTCTGCTCTAGCAGTGGCCACTGGTGATACCAGTCAGCCTGTGTAGCCAGTCCCACCCAGCGCACGTTTGGGTATTTGTCTTGCAAATACCTTGTGTATGTTATGGGCTTCAGTGTTTACATCCTGGTTATTCATTCAAAGTGGCTTTTTCTGTATTAGACTAGAAGGAGCTTTTGGCAGTGGCTGCAGCGTTGCCAGTTGTTGCAGTCTGCGATCTGAGCTTCTTGTCTCGAGGCAGCGAAGCGCTTTGTCTTTCCTTTGCAACTGCTGTTGTGGAGCAGAGCAATTACTCTGTTGGATTTATAGAAAACGAGTTAATGTGAGGAGTGTGTGGAAAATGGAGTAGCTTGGAAAGCGTAGGTTGGTGTCAAAGCGCCGTATGACTCGTGTTGTGGTATGTGAGTGCAGGTGAAGAGCTGCTCTGGCAGTCGGGTGGGAGGAGGAACCGTATCTCGCGTGTCAGAAGTGCAGAGTGATGGGCAGCGCTGGGGAGGAGCGGCGTGGCTCGCCGTCAGCGGGGACGTGCCAGGGGTGGCCGTTGTGACACTGTCGTGGTTAGCAGCGCGGTCCCACCAGCACCGGGAACATCTGGAGAGGAACGTCTGGATACGGGAGAAATGCTCCTTCCTCTGCTCTTGAAGAGATGTCAGGCTCGGTTAGAGGAAAAGGAGAGACGTAACAGTACAGGTGACCCTGTTGGACAACACCATTGTACTGAAATAAAGCATCACCTCAGGAAGTCTTAGCAATATTGACAGTTCTGTCGAGAGTTACTTCAAATATTCCGTCTAATCTCCCACAGGAGAAAACATGTCCTATGGCTTGGGTTTTAGCAACTGTTATGGGGGCCCTTGGCTGCTCCTTAGGACTCTTCCAAGCTGTGAACAACTCTTTAAAGCAAGACATAAGTAATGTGCTTAGGCCTTTTCCAGTACTGCAACTTCTAGAAGTAACTGGCCAGAACTGAGGAAACCCCAGGCAGGTGAAAATGGCTGTGCAAGAAGCTCCTGTGGTAACGCAGCGTTTCTTCTGCAGGGTTGGCAGCTCATATCAGGACGTTGTTGGGAAATAATCATGAAGCCACACAAAGAATTCAACTACTGGAGGTAAATATATATATATATATATATATATATATAAAAGTATAGGATCTTCGTGTTGCTAAAATGGTGGCAGCCTTAAGAGAGACAGCAGAGAAACCGAATCATAAACGCAGAGTAGCAGAGAGCTGCAGATCTCTAGTAAGTGCAGTAGGATGGAAAATATCCCACCATCAACGTGATATGGGGATTTCTGTAGTCCGTGTTGCTACTTCTACAAGATCAAACTGTACGTCTCTCATCTGATATGTTTGTTAATGAATGCACAGATCTTTTCCTTGTTCTGCTGCTAATGTGCTTCTTTTAATACCGTGTTATCGAATATTTCCCTCTAGACCCAATTAGACAAAGTCCAGAAGTCCCAGGATGCTTTGCTACAGGAGCACGTGAATGATCTGAAAGCAAAACATGAGCAAGACCTACGGAAAAAAATCAATCAGATTATCCTGGAAAAGGAGGAGGAAAGCAAAGAGGTGGGGCAGGGTGGCATATTTGCCTTACAGATCCGAGGCAGTGGTTTGCTCTGCCTGTATCGTAGCAACGTGCTGCGACGGGGCAGCATATTGCACTTGTCTCGTGAGCCCGTCTCCGGTGTGCTCATCTGCCAGTCCCTTCTGGCACAGATTTTTTCATGCCTCAGGTTTCCGCACGCTCCAGGTAGTAAACGGCTGGCTGGTTTCTCCTTGTCCCTGCCGTACATTCCCCCCGGCGTTCTCTTCCTCTGCTCATCGAGTTGTCTCGTGTCCAGCCAAGCCTTTCATCCACCATATGCCCCTGCTCCAGATCAGTAACTCTTTAGGTTACTGAGTCAAGTTCTCTTGCTTTATTTTATGATTTTGTCTTTGTCAAAATGTCTGTTGATTCTCAGATTCTGGAGAGTGCTGTCGCCAAAGAGAAGGACAAGTTCAAGCAGTGTATGGATGAAGAAAAGAAGAAGGTCCAAGACTTGGAATATCACCTGAGAAGTATGACCGAGGTTAGTGAAATGCCTAGAGGGGAAAGCAGAACTGTTCACGTTTGAATTCTCTAGTTCTGAAGATGCCCCCTCTGGTCAAGTGTTGTCTGAATATTTGCAGAGAGAAATGGGGATCTTTGTAAGCTGGTCTTTTTAGTTACCACTCTTTTCCTCATGCAGGTTATTGAAATGAAGTCAAAAGAGCAGGAAGTGGTAAATGTCAAACTACGAGAAGCTTTGGACAACCTGGAGGAGACTGGGAAGCGAGAGGTAGCTTTAATAGTCTTTTTGGGTGTGTGACATAGATGTAGTTTTGTTAAAAGAGGTTTCTCCGCTCCCTCCTGATGAGCGAGGCTGCAGCCTGCCCACCCTATGGACACGTTATCAAGGGGAGCTGACCTCGCTCTGGTGGTAGATCCTGCAGGAGCACGTCTTGGCCCCCAACGTGCCCAAGCAAAACCACCCATCTTGTTTCCTAGATCATGTTAAAGCAGCAGTTATTCGTGCAAGACGAACAGCTAAAGATCACTCAGGATGAAAAGGAGTTACTGAAGCAGAAATTTCAGGAAGAAATAATGGAATATAAAGAACAAATTAAGCAGCATTCCCGGACAATTGTTGAGCTAGAAGACAGATTGCTGGTGGCCAAGCAGGAGCAGAAGATTTTAGAGGAGGAAAATGTCACACTCTTGGAAAAAATAGAAGGTAGTTGAGGGTTGCATGGGATGTGTGTATACTGGGAACATTCTTGGCTAATGTGAGATTATTTAGAGATAGGGTAGCATGTTGTTTATCATTATAAAAAGCATTTTGACCCCCAAAAAGACAGACCCCAGTAGAAAGCCACGGTTTAGTTCTTAGAGGTACTTGCACTGAGACCTTGGTGCGGGATGCAAAATCCACTGCAGAAGCAACTAAGCTGAAAATGCTTATGAATAAATAATCTGTTTTTGTTATTGTTTTCTGCAGGATTTCAGGGTGATCCCTGCAGATCCTCATCAAGTGCTTCACTAGCAGCTTTTCATACAGAGGAGTCCCCTGGTTGTCTTGTGTAAGCAGCTAAGGATCTCTTGTCCGTAGTGGTCCCATTTAGAGGGGCTTAGAGAAAAGTAGTTATCAACAGGAGGGCTTAAGGGAGACAAAAGAGCCGACTGCAGCTTGCCCTGAGCTCTTTTCTGTCTCTGATGGTTAAAAGAGCTCCCTTTATTAGGCAGAGACAATCTAAAAAACATGTATTTTCAAATCGTTTAAGGGGTTTGTCTAGAAATACATCTGCAAATGAAATCATCTGCGTTTGGGGAGATAGGACAGCTATCTTTTAATTTTTTTCCTTGGTTTTACTTCGATGCAAAGATCCTGAGGAATAAACAACCACCAAGTCAGAGGTGCTGGCGTGACAGTGGTTGCTACCTGCATCCTGGTAGCCCACCGAGTCCTCTGATGTGGGCTGAGGCTTTTGTCAGCAGCAGCAGCTGGGGAAGAGCCAGGGTGGGGTTTAAGCCTTGTGCTGTCAGTCAAGGCACAGAGGAGGCTGCTGGTTGTCTGCTGATGGTCCTTAATGCTTGTCATGATGATTGGAGATGAGAGAGGGAGAAACGAGAGATCCTGATGCCACAGGCCTGAACTCATGCGACTAAAACATGCTTTAAAAATAGCATGTATGTATTAATAATAAGATCCAGCGACAGAAAGCGTACACAGGCTCTCTAAAGAGAGTCTTTCAGATGAACTATGCATTTTGCAGTTATCTTTCTCTTGAATTTTAGAGAATTAGCAGCTGCACAGAAGGCAATCCTGTCCAAAGAGGCTGTCATTGCTGGGCTCACAAGAGAGCTTGCGGAAACCAAAGCCCGAATGTCAGACATGAAAGGTGCGTGAAGGAATAGCTTCCAGTGGGCACGTGAACCTTCTCATCCCTCTTCTGAGCAATAACAAGGCTGGGAATTAGCAGGAAGAGAACAGTATGTGCAGGTAGCGATAAATCTATGTCACCTTCCCAAAGCAGTGCTGTCACGGGGCCAAACTCGTCTCAGTGGTGGCCAGCAACAGGACAAGGGGCAGTGGGTATAAACTGAAACACAGGAAGCTTCATCTCTATATGAGGAAGAACTTGTGCTAGGGTGACAGACATACAAGGGAGAAGTTTTAGGGTAACAGAGCACTGGCACAGGCTGCCCAGAGAGGTTGTGGAGTCTCCTTCTTTGGAGATCTTCCAAACCCGCCTGGATGTGACCCTGTGCCACGTGCTCTGGGTGTCCCTGCTGGAGCAGGGGGTTGGACTGGATGATCCCTAGAGGTCCCTTCCAACCTCAGCCGCTCTGGGATTCTGTGATCCAGCTCCAAGCAAAGCAGGATGTCCATAGCCTTTGGCCAGGTAAACTCCACGCAGTCCTGAGCTAAAAGGCTAAGATGAATAAAAGGGATAGAAGTGACTTGGGGTGACTGTAAGCAGATGCCCAGATGAAAAAGCAATTGCCTGAGGGTATTGTGTGTGTGTGCATGTGTGTACCTGCTTCCACTGATTTTATGGAGAACTGCAGCTCTCCTGAGTGCAGAGAGAGCCAGTAATCTGTGATCCTGCTCATAGGAGAGCTCAGTGAGAAGCAGAAGATGGAGCTGGAGTGGAACCTGAGCCGCGTGAAGTGCCAAGAGAGCGAACTGAGTGTCCTTAGAGAGCAGCTTTATGAGATGTCAAACCTTGTGGATAAGAAGGATAAAGACCTGAAAGCAGCAGCCGAAGAGCTAAGGTATAAGCTGCTGTGATATAAAGGTTTGCAAAAGCTCCGTGGATTCCCAATCGATGACTTTGCTTAGATATCTCCCCCCAAGCAACGGCACATTGAAAGCATAAAAATTTAACTAAGCAGTGTTTTCTTTACAGAAATGTCATATGAAGTGAAATAGGGCTTTGGAAGCCCTCACACACATGGGCTTATATCTAAATAATTGTTTTTTATGTATTCCCACCCACGCTTTTATATTCATCCACAGTTAACCAGGTTGCAAGCTGTCCTTCATTCTTCACTGTGTGTTTAGCGACGTTTTTGTCTCTTGGCACAGGCAAGCCCAAGAAAACCTGAAAGTACTGAAGGATGCCTCAAAAGAAACAGCAAAAGAGACTCTTCCTCGAAGACAAGTGCAGACCAGCGCTGCAGCAGCAGATCAAGTATCTGAAAGGGTAAGTCTGCACTGAGAAAATACATAGGTATTAGAAGAAAAAAAAAAGAAAAGCGAAGAAGAAAGAAAAGCAGTTGTTGTAAACCAAAACCTAGGACAAGATGGCTGCATATGCATTTCAACCACATAGGCTGAGAATATATGAGAAGCAGCATCGCCCTGTCAAAATCCAGTGACTGAAGAGTGGGAGCAACATGCAGACTATGTCTCATATCCTCGCTCTCAGTTTTTGTGCTAAAAATAAGTTGCTTGGGTGATCTTCAGTCGTTTCTGGTGCTGCCTTGTTATACAGCTGCCAGCAAATCTGGAAGGTCAAAGCCTCAGAAGTCTTGTTTCGGAGTGTCTTTTCTGTGAGATTCTGGAAAGCAACTTCCAAGTGCTCTCTGTATAGAGAATTTCTTCTAGCCAGTGGACTGATGTTTGTGCAGAGCTTTGCAAAGGAGGTGTTGTGCGTGTTAATGGGTGCTGCAGTTGCCAATTAGGGTGGATGGCAGCTTGCAAAAATGTGTAACTCTTCCCTCCTTTTGTAAATCTTGCTCAGCCATCCATGCTCCATGGCCTGGTGGACAAAGCAGTTGGGATTTAATGTGTGGGATGAGGTATTTTGTCACCAAGTGGAGGCAGAAGTGGTCGCTGGGCTCTCCTTCGGTGTTGGAGCATCCTGTGAATCCACCTCTCTTATAAATGCAAATAAATCAAAGGTGCTTCCAGGAGCAGATGGAGGGACTGCAGAAATCGTACATCCTGTACCAAAACAGTGGCAGACACTGCCAACTAAAAAGACTGGATTTATCGAGGCCAAATGGTGACTCATGCCTGGGTGATGAGCAGGAGGTGTCACCCGGGCCTTGCTGCAGAACCGTGAGCTGGGAGAGCGGGGCACAGCCCGGCCCAGCGATCCCAGAAGCGCAGAGGAGCAAAAACAGCGAGACCCAAGGTGGCATTTTCCATCATCAGCTCCCTGCAGGTTTTAGCCAGGCACTCACCCAGCTCTCTGGCTGCGACGTTAGTCACAAGCGGCGCACTGGGTGTGCTGGAACGTGCCCGTGTGCGCACGGACGTGTTGCAAAAGCAGCGTTTCTAGGACTGCTGCAAAATTCAGGTCGCCAAGTAAGTCAGTGTTTGTGTTTCCTAAGCAATGTGGGCGCCACGGTAGCTCAAAGGAATAGACAAAAATCCCGGTGTGGCTCCGCACCGGCCCTCTCCCAGCTCTCGTATGCAGGGTTGGAAGCTCATTTCCTCTGCCAGGGCCAGCCAAAGAGCCCTGGGCCGCTCTTTTCCTCAGCCCCCAAACCTGTGGAGTTCTGCCCTCAGCACATCCCAAACGCCGTCTGCTTTCGGAGGGGTCGCGCGTTGGTGGTGCCCGTGGGCAGCTCAGGCCCCATGCGCTGCTCGCTCGCCCCTCCTGCGGGACAGGGCAATATCGAGGTCGAGCGAGGACCCACTCTGCATTTCAGGACCTGGCTCTGGGTTTGGCCGACCTGGGCGCCAAGTGCAGAGGCCTCAGGCACGAGGAGACCATTCGGCGCCAGAAGGAAGGCCTGGCCGAGCTCCGTGAGAGGATCAAGCTGCTGGAGAAGGCGCAGGCTGCAAGTGAGTGAGTGCAGCACGACCCGTCTCTCCTGCAAAGGCAGGAGGTGTCCGGGCGCCTGGCACAAGCCACTGGTGCCAGTCAGTGAAATGAAAAGCCCTTTACGGTAACCAGGCCACGCGGCAGCGTTTGCAGGACCGGGTCTGCAGCCGTGGAAGGCCGAGTGGCAGGAACTGCTGCCCGCTGTGGGGGTTCTGCTCCTCCAGCTGTTACACTGTGCAGGTTTTCCTTTTCCTTCAGCTTTTGCAAGCCAGGGGCTGGAGCCACTTGTGGTTCTGAAGAGAGATTTGCCAGAGAAAACGGCGCAGAGAGCGGGAGTCGCGAAGGAGCATCTGCCCTTGCCGATGCCCCAAGGCAGTTCCAGCAAGGTAAGGGAGAAGTCGTGGTTTGTTTTGCTTGTGGTTTCAGGGGAGGAAGGAGGTCAAGGCTTCCGATGCTACAAAAAGGGTGGCTGGGGAAAGGGGATGGTGTGAAATCTGCTGCTGAGTAATGTGAAGTTTAGAGTAAGGCCCTACTTGCAGAGAGGATCCCTGTTCCTTTAAGGGGCTGCATTTTCCCCAGTATCTTTGCACAGAGCTGCTCAGAAAGCTCCCGTGTGGACTCGGTGGGAGGTTTTGGAGCACAGCTCTGCTGGTGTGGTTTCCTAGCCTGCAGAAGGAGGACGAGGCTGCTCGGGGAGCAGCAAGGATGCTCTGCTTGTCCTTTTCTGTCCCTCCAGTTTCCTAGCAGTTTTCCTAGCGAGTTTTTGCCCGGAGCAGCTGCGGAGCCCGCAAACGTGGCAGTGTCTGATGCCCTAGACCTCAGTGAGAAGATGGTACGTAGGCAGTGGCCGTGTTAAAGTTGTGCTCAACACTGGGAGATCCTTCCCAGATGCGTTTGAGCAATAAGCAGTCGGCATCGGGATGCCCTAGGAATGCCAGGAAGTTCTTCAAGGATGAACTCCAGGTGAGAGGAAACAAAGAGCTCCAGGCATCTGCCTGGACGTCTGGGGACTGCGGAGCTGGCAGTGGCCTGTGTTTCCTCCCCTTAAACATCCCTGAGCCACATCTGCGAAACAAATGTCCTGCATTAGAGCAGCTCTGCGGGGTGTCGGGCTGGTTTCTGTGCGCTCTGGACACCTCGGATTCATCTGCCCATGGATATGAGTGAAGCCCCATCTGGTTGAGCGTGTGAGCTGCTTGGAAAGGCTCGGACGGGGGAAATGCGCATCGCGCTGAAACAAAGGGGAGCGCGCGCAGCCGCTCGCAACGACGTTTTAATCTCTGATGTTAAAGCAGAATGAAAGCAGATGGCTTAGTGGTGTGATCTTGTCTCAATGAAGACTTGGCAGGCCTAGTAAATAATTCATTCCCTACTCTTCCTACAGTACCTTGATTTAATCCGTGCTCTGGGAGCACTGATGAATATGAAAGAGCTGACAGGAATGCAGTCGGTGAGACATCTTCCTCAGGAGGAGAGGGAGAACATGGGGCTGCAGAGACAGAAGGACCTACAGCTGCTCTACAATAAGATCTGTAAGCTCAAGAGCCGGCTGGAAAGAAAAGAAGAAATGCTAAAAGATTATGAGTCCAGTGCTGAGCAGCTCAGGTACAGAAAGCCCAAGTATTGGCCAAGACTTAGAGAAAGGAGTAGTGCAGCACCTGAAGTCAGTAGTGGTGTGGATTTATGTGTACCACGGAGCAGTCTCGTTGTGGTTACAGCCTTGAATAAGAGTTTGAGACGGGGAAATGCCCTTGGAGAAGCTCCCAGCTCGCTGCGTGAACGCTCAAATATTCCTGCCCACAGAGCTAGGAAAAGTGCTTTGGAAAGATATTTCTGGGTCCGTTTAAAAATACCGCGCCGTTCTAAATAGGCGTGTGTTTTTATAGCAATTCCAAAGCGAGTAACACTTACAAAACATCCAGAATCCCCCTGCAGCCTCGTGCGCTCTGCCATCCATGACTGCAGGGATCTGTGCTGAAGCAGAGCAGGAGGAATCGTGGCCAGCACAGGGCGGGTGTCTCCCTCCTTGGATTTGATTATGGGGCAGCAGGAAGGCGGGAGGAGCAGGGAGCAAAGATTTGGAGTGGGGAAAAAAATTCCTGAACCAGGCAGGGATTTTTGCAGCGTCCTGGTTGCCGTTTGTGCAGCTCGGCG